TTGACAATGTTGTGAAACACTTTAGGAAAGTCATAAAGGAACGAGAGGTACAGGCCTCTATGGACAGATATGTTGTGCTCAGCAACACAGTAAATGACCATATGACCTGTCTTTGTAATACTCATTTGTGCTAAATTGTTATCTGTTTACAATAATGTATTTATCACTGAATATATCATTGCTTAGTTAATCTTAAGTTAATTTTCAGCCTGCTCATAATGCTCTGCATACAAGGGGCTTTGGCATGTTGCACTGTAATAACTTTGTACTTCACTGTATCATGTTAAAATTAATTAAATACAGTGGACCCTCGCCTAATGCTATTAATCCATTCCTGAGAGCTCAACGTTAGGCGAAATTATCGTTAGGCGAATTAATTTTCCCCATAAGAAATAATGGAAATCAAATTAATCCGTGCAAGACACCCAAAAGTATGAAAAAAAAAATTTTTTACCACATGAAATATTAATTTTAATACACACAAACTGAAGAAGACATGCACAGTTACATGACACTTACCTTTATTGAAGATCTGGTGATGATTGATGGGGTGGGAGGAGGGGTGTGTGTGGATGGTCTTAGTGTTTAGAAGGGGGAATCCCCTTCCATTACGACTTGAGGTAGCAAGTCCTTTTCCGGGGTTACTTCCCTTCTTCTTTTAATGCCACTAGGACCAGCTTGAGAGCCACTGGACCTCTGTCGCACAACATATCTGTCCATAGAGGCCTGTACCTCTCGTTCCTTTATGACTTTCCTAAAGTGTTTCACAACATTGTCAGTGTAATAGTCACCAGCACAGCTTGCAATAGCTGTGTGAGGGTGATTTTCATCCATAAAGGTTTGCACTTCAAGCCACTTTGCACATATTTCCTTAATCTTTGAAGTAGACAACTTCTTCAATTTCTCTCTCCCCTCCTCTGAAGCAGTTTCCTCAGGTGTGGCCTCATGCTGATGAAGATGATCTAGCAGCTCATCAGTGGTTAGTTCTTCATTGTCCTCCTCCACCAACTCTTCCACATCCTCCCCACTAACCTTCAATCCCAAGGACTTCCCCGATGCCACAATTGATTCCTCAACTGGCATACGCTTCTCAGGGTTAGCCTCAAATCCTTCAAAATCCCTTTTGTCTACACATTCTGGCCACAGTTTCTTCCAAGCAGAGTTCAAAGTCCTCTTAGTCACTCCCTCCCAAGCCTTACATATAAGGTTTACACAATTGAGGATATTAAAGTGATCTCTCCAAAACTCTCTTAGTCAATTGAGTTTCTGAGGTCACTACAAAGCACCTTTCAAACAGAGCTTTTGTATACAGTTTTTTGAAGTTTGCAATGACCTGCTGGTCCATGGGCTGCAGGAGAGTAGTTGTATTAGGAGGCAAAAACTTGATGTTAATGAAGCTCATGTCTGCAGAAAGTCATTCTGCCACGTCTGAAGGATGACCTGGAGCATTGTCTAATACCAGGAGGCACTTAAGGTCAAATTTCTTTTCAATTAGGTAATTTTTCATATTGGGGGCAAATGCATGGTGTAACCAGTCATAGAAAAAGTCCCTAGTGACCCATGTCTTGCTGTTTGCCCTCCACAGCACACACAAATTAGCCTTGAGGATATTCTTTTGCCTGAACGGTCTGGGAGTTTCAGAGTGATACACCAATAAAGGCTTCACTTTGCAATCACCACTAGCATTGGCACACATCAACAGAGTAAGCCTGTCTTTCATAGGCTTATGTCCTGGGAGTGCCTTTTCCTCCTCAGTAATGTAGGTCCTGCTTTGAATTTTCTTCCAAAACAGGCCTGTTTCGTCACAATTAAACACTTGTTCAGGTTTCAGTCCTTCACTGTCTATGCAATCCTTGAATTCATGCACATATTTTTCAGCTGCTTTGTGGTTCGAACTGGCAGTCTCACCATGCCTTATCACACTATGTATGCCACTACGATTCTTAAATCTATCAAACCAACCTTTGCTGGCCTTAAATTCACTCACATCACCACTAGTTGCAGGCATTTTTCTAATTAAATCCTCGTGCAACTGCCTAGCCTTTTCACATATGATCGCTTGAGAGATGCTATCTCCTGCTATCTGTTTTTCGTTTATCCACACCAATAACAGTCTCTCAACATCTTCTGTCACTTGCGATCTCTGTTTCGAAAACAAAGTTGCACCTTTGGCAAGAACAGCTTCCTTGATTGCCGTTTTCTTGGCCACAATAGTAGCAATGGTTGATTGGGGTTTACTATACAACCTGGCCAGCTCGGAGACACGCACTCCATTTTCATATTTAGCAATGATCTCTTTCTTCATATCCATAGTAATTCTCACCCTTATTCCTGTAGGGTTGGCACTAGAAGCTTTCTTGGGGCCCATGGTCACTTATTTTGCAGGTGAAATCGCTAAAAACGCTGTGATAATACGAAATATTCCGATTGTGTGCTTGGATGTGACCGCGGAGGCTGGCTTGTAAACACTGCCACCCACGGAACAAGTGAGGCTGGCTCAGGCCGCACGTGGACGCGTCTCGGACGAATCGCGTTGAGCGAGTTTTTTAGCGCTAGGCGAGGCAAAATTTTTGTGTTAAAATGTATCGCAAGGCGGATTTAACGTTATGCGATGCCATCGTTAGGCGAGGGTCCACTGTAAATAAATAAAACCCCGGAAAAGGACTTGCTACCTCAAGTCCTAATGGAAGAGGATTCCCCTTCTAAACATTAAAAACTTCGACACTCTCCCCTCCTCCCATCCCATCAATCACCACCAGGTCTTCATTAAAGGTAAGTGTCAATTATTCTATTGTAATTATTCTATTGTTATTATTGTTATTGTAATTATTAAATTGCATTAAACTTAATATATCATGTGGTAAAAGTTTTTTTTTTTATACTTTTGGGTGTCTTGCACGGATTAATTTGATTTCCATTATTTCTTATGGGGAAAATTGATTCGCTTTCTGATAATTTTGGTTTACGATGAACTCTCAGGAACAGATTAATATCGTGAACCGGGGGTCCACTGTACTGACTTCCTACAAATAAATACTACTCGCCTCTGGCCCTACATAAAGACTAAAAATATTTTAAGTAATGAATGTACTGTGGCAGTAAATGACACAGAAAGGACGTAACTCTAGAGAGGGTTTTGATATCTGAAGTCTTTATGGAGGGGGATTCGCAACTCCATCTCCCCTCCTCGCTTTCTTCAATACGCCAACAAGAGTCTTCAATAAAAGTATGTAATGTTCATTTGTCATTAAAATTTATTTTTTATATTTTTCCTCATTGTTTTCTGTAAAACTATAATTAATTGAAAAAAAATTATTTTTTTGTTAATATTTTTGGGTGTCTGGAACGGATTAATTGTATTTACATTAATTCTTACGGGAAATATTACTTCCGTTTTCAGCCTTTTCAGATTTAGGCCAACCTTCTGGAATGGATTACGGCCAGTAACTGGGGGTCCACTGTATTTTGAAATTTGTGTGAAAATGCCAAGTTACCATTTTCTGATCACTTTATTGGGCAGTTTAAATAGTTGATTGGGTGGTTTCATGTGCTCACTCGATAAAATGGAAGGCGTACTAACGAAACGACTAAGAATTTGATCTACCGGAACAATGTAATTGGCCTCATATAGGACTCAAATGGGCAAAATTGCCGATGTGTAAATATAGCTGATGAGGCAAAATTGGTGAAAGCATAATTTCATCAAATGTCGATCAAATTTTGTACTTTGTTTTATTAACCCTAGAAAAAGCTTCTCTACCATTTCATAGGGATTTTTTTTTTTAAATTCTTGGATGCTGTGGACAAGTTTCAGATCAGGGATCTGGACAATGAAAGGGTTAAAGAATAAAACAGACACAATACCATGACTGGAGTAATACACATATAACCCCCACATAGGAGACTGAAACTTGTGACGACTAGTTAATGGTCCAAGTTGGACAGAAATATTGTCGCAAGTTTCATTCTCCTCTGTGTGGGCTATTTGTGTCTTAAGGGCATTAGGTGGAAAGTTTTATGTTACATTCCTTTCTTTTCCTGATGTGTGTGATGCCTTTGTTGAATCCTAACTGAGAGTAGTTAACCTCTCATTACCCAGGTGCTGTATGAGCCTGTAATGTGCTGCTTTGCCCTTAATGCAGGGAATGTTTCCTACAACTATGCTACTAACAGCTGTGTTATCTGTTTCCACCAGTGTGATCTCCTTGCTGTGACCTCACCTCCAACTATACCTCACTTCTGGCTCTAGTATATCAGCCCATCTTAATCACAGACAACATGGCACTGTTGTAACAAGTCAAATGGGTGACTGTTGGTGGAGTCTTGAACAGTTGAAATATGACAGTTACATGAGCTGTGTGCAGTGGCTTCCCTCTCTTCGCACAGCAGACACTTCTGTCAACCTTTATCTTATATTTATAGTTTTTGCATTGTAACATAACCTAACCGAACTTGGAAAAGGGCTGCAAACCCTATGTGAAAGTTTGAAAGTTATCAGTATGAGTTATGAGTATGAGTTATCATTTATGAGTATATATGGTTTAGCTTTATGGTTCTGTTTTCAGCTATGGGCCTGACCACCATTAATCAAGGGTGACAGGCTGATCGCCTCGAAACATCTTCATTCTTCTATTGTCTTCAGTGTTGTAATCACCTCTGTATTGGGTGACAAGACCTGTTGTGCAAGTGAAATGTTTTGTTAGTAAAGATACCCAAGTGTTGCACATGTATCTTGCTCATTAATTTGATGGTATTTCATACCATTAATGACGCAACTGACTGTTTTTGAATCAGTCAACTTAGCAAATTTTGTCCTGTTTCTGAAGTCCATTAAATCCCACTCTTTTACGTTTACTGTAATTATAATAATCAAATTCAGCTGCCTTTAGTCAATTTTTCTGTTATTCTGTTTTAATTCGGCCTAAATTCTGAATATTATGAAAATGTTAGATCTCAAAATATGTTCAACCTTTCAGATGAATTCCATCCTCTCTTAACAGGCCCAGATTTCTGCCAAGCTGGGCATTCCAGTGACTGATGTTAAGAACGTCATCATCTGGGGCAACCACTCCTCCACGCAGTTCCCAGACGTCCGCCATGCCTCTGCCATTGTCAACGGACAGACTGTGTCCGTATACGATGCCATAAAAGATGATGCTTTTCTCAAAGGCGAATTTATTACAGTGAGTGATGTTTCTTGTAATAATTATACTAATGATAATGTGAATAACATTTAGATAAAGGTAAGGAATTTTTACTTTTGTGGGTGGATAGGGAAGTAAAGTGGCAGATATTGCAAATGTATGGAATAGGTGATAGGTTACTTCAGCAGTTAAGAGTTATTATGAGTCACTGGGTCAAAGGTGGATTGATACACATTTTCTCTGATGCTGAACCAGAGAAAACATCATTTTTTTCCTCCGCCTGGCTACCATATCTTACATTTGTGATATTTATTGTACTGTGGGTGTCTGTATCATGTTTATATGCTATGTAACATGTTTCTTACATAATTTTGAAGAAAATTTAATAACTGGATTAATGAAAATGTCTATATTAACATAAAATAAAACATTTAATGTGCCCAAGAGTGATTATTATTATGTACAGTCTCTCCTCCCTGAGCGACGTACTCGTTTACCGACAATTCAGACTTGCAATGGGCTCTGACCAAATTGCATACCTAAATAATGTATGTTAGAGCTGATTTTCTCTATTCTGTATATTACAATGTACAGTACAGTGCTGTATAAACATTTAAAAATATACTAGAAATGTTATAAATGGTGCAAAAGTGACATTAAAAGAATATCAAAGATGACACAAACCCACTACCATTATATTATGCTCCTCACTGAGAAACTAATTCGTTGACCAATGTGGTCTTAGGAATGGAACTCTGTCATTAAGTGAGGAAAGGCTGCATTAGTATTATTACTATGTTGTCAAGATTAGAGAGACACTCTTAGTGATTTTAATGTGTACCTGCATGCCAGCACAGTGTATAAGTTTAAGGTACAGGTACACATAAGTATAATTATCAGAGTACATATAAAACACACACTAAAACACTTGAAATTTTGGAATGTTTCCGGACATAAAGGAGAGAGGTGCTCATGGAGAATGTGAACAAACTGGGTGGCGTGCGGTGACCATATTAGAGAGTCAGATAGGGGGAGCCGTACAGCAAGTTTTGGTCATAATTTGAAATGTCTATATTAACGGAACACCATAAGATGAAACGCCGTAAAGCGGGGCCCTACTGTACTGATTTATCCTCTTTTCCTTAAAATATATATTATTACCAGCTACTGGACCACTATGACAAGGTCCTGGGTGCTGTTGAGGATAAACAAAATACGTACAGATGAAGTATACGCAGACTTTGCAAAAGTTTTCGACAAGTGTGACCATGGAGTAATAGCACACAAAATGCGTGATAAAGGAATAACAGAAAAGTTGATAGATGGATCTATAACTTCCTGACAAATAGAACACAGAGTAATAGTAAACAGAATAAAGTCCCAGGCATCCATGGTGAAAGCTCTGTTCTACAAGGCACAGTACTCGCTCCCATTCTATTCCTCATCCTCATTTCGGACATAGAGATGTAAGCCATAGCTCTGTGTCTTCCTTTGCGGATGACACCCAGATTGCCATGGCAGTGACCTCCATTGAAGACACAGCAAGACTCCAAACGGACATCCACCAAATCTTCAAATGGGCCACTCAAAATAATACGAAGTTCAACTAGGAGAAATTTCATCTACTCAAATATGGAAAACTTGATGAAATTAAAAATGTGTCAGCGTATATGACAAATTCTAACCATACAATAGAGCAAAAAAAGAACTGTGAAGGACCTATGAGTGATAATGTTAGAGGATCTCACCTTAAAAGATCACAACAATGTATCTACCTCATCTGCTAGGAAAATGATAGGATGGATAATGAGAACCTTCAAAACTAGGGACGCCAAGCTCATGATGATCCTCTTCAAATCGCTTGTTCTCTCTAGGCTGGAATACTGCAGTACACTAACTGTCCCCTTCAAGGCTGGAGACATTACAGACCTGGAGAGCATATAAAAACTTTCATGGCACACATAAGTACAGTGAGGCACCTAAATTACTGGGAACGTTGAAGGTCCTTGATCTGTATTCCCTGGAATGCAGGCGAGAAAGATGCATGGTAATATACACTCGATAATATAAGACTCGACAGGAGAGGTAGCATTCCCCCGATGAAAAGCAGGGGCGCCACGAGTACATTGAGACAACACAATAAGTGTCAGGGGCCCAAGACTGTTCAACTGCCTCCCAGTATACATATGGGAGATTACCAATAGACCCTTGGCTGTCTTCAAGAAGGCACTGGACAGACACCTAAAGTCAGTACCTGACCAACCGGGCTGTAGTTTGTATGTCAGTTTGTGTGCAGCCAGTAGTAGCAGCCTGGTTGATCAAACCTGGTCTCAGACCGAGCCACAGGGGCATTGACCCTTGAAATCCTGTCCAGGTAAACCTCTTTATGTACATAGTTCAGTTAAAGGCCCCATTATCATTTACCCCCTTGCACTCCAAAACTTGCCTACCATGCCCTCTACAACCATTTCTCCCACTTTAGCATTCATGTCCTCTACAGTAATTACTTTCTTACTTGGTTTAAAACTTCCTAAGCACTCAATATCTCCGAAAATCTCTCACTTTCTCTCTACACTTCTTTCTCCAGGTGCATAAATACTTACTGTGACCCACTTTTCATGTCTGACCCACCTTTATTTTACTCCACAAAATCCTTGAATTTATACAATCATATTCTTTCTTTTCCTGCCATAACTGATCCTTCAACATTATTGCTACTCCATCCTTTCCTCTAACTGTATTAGAGAGCCCTGACCTAATTCCATTTATTTCTCCCCACTGAAATTCTCCTACCCACTTCAGTTTTGTTTTCCTTAGAGCCAGGACATCCAGCTTCTTTTCATTCATAACATCCACAGTCATCTTTCTTATCATCCTTACCACATCCACACACATTCAAACATCCCAGCTTAAAGAGTTTTATTTTTATTTTTAGTGAGCTGTGCAGGAGAAGGGGTTACTAGCCCATTGCTCCTGGCATTTTAGTTGACATTTACAACATGCATGGCCTACAGAGGAAAGAGTCTTATTCCACTTCCCCATGGATATGAAAGGAAAAGTAATAATAACATGAACTATTAAGATAACATCAAAGAAAACTCAGATGAGTGTGTATACATAAACGTGTACATGCATGTGTAGTATCACTTAAGTGTAAGTAAAAGTAGCAAGATATACTTATCTTGTGAGTTTGAGACAGAAAAGACACCTGCACTCCTACCATCGTATAAAACAAAATACAGGTTTCCATCTTGTTCATTGGCAAGGCAGTAGTACGTACTGCCCTGGGTGGTTTCTGTCTACCAAGCTGCTATATATATGTATATATATATATATATATATATACAGTAGGGCCCCAGTATCTGCTGGGGATAAGTTCTGAGGACCAGCTGTGGATATCGAAACTGCGGATAGTAGCAAACCCTATGTGTAAGTCCTATACATAACTATTATAAATTTTAATTGATAAATTATGCACAGTAAGTGGAGAGTTATCACTTCCATTGATGGGAAGCACTTCAAGGCTTCTCTTAGGCTTTGAAGAACTGCCAGCTTCTCTACTTTTGTGCTTTGTGGCCATTATTATCTAAAATTAAGAGGTATTTTTGGGCCACAGTGCACCATGGATAACTGAAACCGCAGATACCGAATGAGTGGATATGAAGGTTCTATTGTACATATTCTCCATGGTGAAGTGGAACAGAATTCTTCCTCCATAAGCCATGTGTGTCATAGGAGACGATTAACATGCCAGGAACAAGAGGCAAGTAATTGCTTCTCCTGTATGCATTACTAAATTTAAAAAAAACTTTCATTTTTCTTTCTAGGTCACCCTGCCTTGGTGACCGTGGTACAGCAGCAGATGACCATGGTACAGCAGCAGCTGACCATGGTACAGCAGCAGCAGCAGGTGACCGTGGTACAGCAGCAGCAGCAGACCGTGGTGCAGCAGCAGCTGACAGTGGTGCATCAGCAGCTGACTCTGGTACAGCAGCAGCAGCTGACCGTGGTGCAGCAGCTGACTGTGGTGCAGCAGCAGCTGACCATGGTACAGCAGCAGCAGCTGACCGTGGTACAGCAGCATCCGCTGACCGTGGTACAGCAGCAGCCGCTGACCGTGGTACAGCAGCAGCCGCTGACCGTGGTACAGCAGCAGCCGCTGACCGTGGTACAGCAGCAGCCGCTGACCGTGGTACAGCAGCAGCAGCTGACCATGGTACAGCAGCAGCAGCTGACTGTGGTACAGCAGCAGCAGCTGACCATGGTACAGCAGCAGCATCTGACCATGGTACAGCAGCAGCAGCTGACCATGGTACAGCAGCAGCAGCTGACCATGGTACAGCAGCAGCAGCTGACCATGGTACAGCAGCAGCAGCTGACCATGGTACAGCAGCAGCAGCTGACCATGGTACAGCAGCAGCAGCTGACCATGGTACAGCAGCAGCAGCTGACCGTGATACAGCAGCACTAGCTGACCGTGATACAGCAGCAGCAGCTGACCGTGGTACGGCAGCAGCAGCAGCTGACCGTGGTACGGCAGCAGCAGCAGCTGACCGTGGTACGGCAGCAGCAGCAGCTGACCGTGGTACGGCAGCAGCAGCAGCTGACCATGGTACAGCAGCAGCAGCTGACCATGGTACAGCAGCAGCAGCTGACCATGGTACAGCAGCAGCAGCTGACCATGGTACAGCAGCAGCAGCTGACCATGGTACAGCAGCAGCAGCTGACCATGGTACAGCAGCACTAGCTGACCGTGATACAGCAGCAGCAGCTGACCGTGGTACGGCAGCAGCAGCAGCTGACCGTGGTACGGCAGCAGCAGCAGCTGACCGTGATACGGCAGCAGCAGCAGCTGACCGTGGTACAGCAGCAGCAGCAGCAGCTGACCGTGGTACGGCAGCAGCAGCAGCTGACCGTGGTACGGCAGCAGCAGCAGCTGACCGTGGTATGGCAGCAGCAGCAGCTGACCGTGGTACGGCAGCAGCAGCAGCTGACCGTGGTACGGCAGCAGCAGCAGCTGACCGTGGTACGGCAGCAGC